TTAGCCGTATAATGACGAAATGGGACATTTTAACAGAATTTCTGTCAAACAAAGATGTAAATCCTTTACTTTTATTGAGTTTGACAAATTGAAACCAGCAAACCATTCAGGAAAGTTGCCAAAGTACAGAATCTACATTTACGGAATTCATCTCTTAGGCCCGAGAACACAGTTATTTCGTAGTGCATTTCTTTTAGACAATAAATTCAAATTAAAAAAATCGCACCTGCTCTATCTCAAAAAGATTTTTACAGTGTAGTGTACTACTATTGATACAAATAATATAAAAAATTATAGAAACTTCTACCAGCTCTAACTCAAAATATTGACAATTCTGTGTTAAGGGGGGCTAAAATTCAGTTTGACAGCTTCAGACATTCTAATTTTTGACCTTTTTTAACTGGACCAAATCACTACTTAACATAAAGATTCAGCACCCAAATTTTTTTAACATGTAATTTCATCCCCTTACTTAATATTTCATGCATAAAATATCAAGAAATAAATTGGGAAAGTTTATAAAAAAAAAATGCAAGTTATACACTGTTCACACTAGGGACTATATTCGTAGACAACGAAAACCAAAGGACGATAACTGTGTCCTTGGACCTAATAGGATAGAAAGACTTGACCAATTTTAATAAAACTTTGCATGACCTAAGCTTAGGCAATTATAAGATAGTTGGCCAAGTTTCATGGCCATAGGATATATATTATAGAAACTAGGGCCATTTTTATATTGAAATTTGGATGTTTATTTTTGACGTTTAAATCAAATATTTTCAACTGTCAAGATTTTGGCCTAAAAAATTTAAATATTGCAAAAATTTGCTTTTTAATTACTCTTGAATTTAATATAATAAGTTTTAAAAGCAACGGAACACTCATTTGATTTATCAGATTTATTACAGTTATTCAAAAGTCAAATTTATATGAGCCTGTGCCTGAAAATAGAGATTTTCGAATTAAGGGAAGCCTTACATAAACATGCATTTTTTTCAACCAATTTGAAGTTTTTGAAGTTTTTTAACCATACATTATTCTTTCATATATATTAAATGTACTTTGAATGTAAAGAAAAGTTACAAAAAGCATACCACATGAGTATAAAATGGTCTTAGGCCATGTAAGACTGAGAATTATTTAGAGTCGATTTAGGCCGTAGCCCATATTTACATATAAAAATGCACACAGAGGCTATAAGAAATTGAAATTTGTTACTTTTTACTCATTTCTATGCTAAGATGTCATGATACAAGAAGTCTAATTGCAAAAGGACTCTTGAATTCAACTTTTTTTTGCAGACAGTATGGTCTGATGACCAGTTTTTCACTTTTCAATGGAAAACTTGCATGTAGTTTTAGTCTCATTTGGCATATATTTGAACCACTTACTATCCTAAAGAAGAAAATTATGGTAGCATATGAAATGAATAGGGTGTACTGATCATTGTAAAGTGTTTTTTTTACAGATTTAGTGAAATATTTGTGATGGACTACAGATTTTATGTACAAAGCTCTTCACATTTCACATACATCAAACAGGCCGTTTAACCAGGGACATAAATACAAATATTCTGCACATTTTTTCTGTGATAATCTACTTTTCTCTAGATTCCGAGTTCACAAATGGTTGATTAAATTTGATTTAAGCATAGAAACACAAATATCAGGAACATAAAAAGCTGTCAGATAGAAAGTCAGCATGGCTCTTAGGCATAAAATGGAAACTGCTTTAAAATGCTTATTTTAGCCGTATAATGACGAAATGGGACATTTTAACAGAATTTCTGTCAAACAAAGATGTAAATCCTTTACTTTTATTGAGTTTGACAAATTGAAACCAGCAAACCATTCAGGAAAGTTGCCAAAGTACAGAATCTACATTTACGGAATTCATCTCTTAGGCCCGAGAACACAGTTATTTCGTAGTGCATTTCTTTTAGACAATAAATTCAAATTAAAAAAATCGCACCTGCTCTATCTCAAAAAGATTTTTACAGTGTAGTGTACTACTATTGATACAAATAATATAAAAAATTATAGAAACTTCTACCAGCTCTAACTCAAAATATTGACAATTCTGTGTTAAGGGGGGCTAAAATTCAGTTTGACAGCTTCAGACATTCTAATTTTTGACCTTTTTTAACTGGACCAAATCACTACTTAACATAAAGATTCAGCACCCAAATTTTTTTAACATGTAATTTCATCCCCTTACTTAATATTTCATGCATAAAATATCAAGAAATAAATTGGGAAAGTGTATCAAAAAAAAAATGCAAGTTATACACTGTTCACACTAGGGACTATATTCGTAGACAACGAAAACCAAAGGACGATAACTGTGTCCTTGGACCACCTCAATAATACGCACTAGGGACTTGATGTGATGATACAGTTGCCACAAAGGACATGAAATATAAAAGTAGGCTATGTTGTTTTAAATTAAAAAAATTAAAAAATAATTCCAAATTATATAATCACATCTTTAGTAATTACCATGTAAATGTTTTAACGACACGTGCCACACTCTATTGATCGTCATCTGTGTGTAATCGATCGAAATTCATGTTCATTCAACCAGAACCCGTTAATTACGCACGTGTATACAGATTGTAAATGAATATATTATCTCAGCATGTTATCATGGTTATAGTGTTTTTGTTTTATGGGTCTTGTATTTTGAAAAAAAAAAAAATAAATGGGGTTTTTCTAAGCACCGGAAAAAAGTTGTTAAACATTTATTATCTATTTTCCAATAAGTTCAATAATACATTGTAGAAATTTGTATTCACAACACACACGCACAACTTATTTAAAAACTTACTTGCCATTGCTTCATATTTAACTGGATAATCAGAGTTTTTATGGAAGTTGCATGTTGAGAGCAGCTTTAGATATGAAACCATATTGACATTTTGTAGAAAATCTGCATACTGCAATAATTTAACATAAATCCTGCATTTTCAACAAATTTTTATTTTTCTAGAAGAAAAACAATCAAACGGAAAACATGTTCCATACATAAAATATCTGTTTCAATGAGAAGAAAAATTGTTCCCATAGGTAGACAAATGTTCCCATGGGAAGAAAAATTGTTCCCATGGGAAGAAAAACTGTTCCCATCGGAAAAGTTAAATTCCCATGGGAACTCTCTGTATTCGTCTTTTCCCATGGGAACTGTAAAGTTCCGATGGGAACTTTAAAATTCCCATGGGAAAAGTATTTTTTCCGATGGGAACTTTAACTTTTCCCATGGGAACTTCGAATATTCCCATGGGAATTTCTAAATTTCCCATGGGAAATGTACTTTTAATCAGCTGTGGTGACAACAGTGACAACGGTGACATATTGGGACATATGGGGAAATTTAATTTTTTTGATTATCTATCACTTGGGCAAAACATATTTTTGATATCTTGTAAACCGACAAAGTCAGATTTGCCAATTCTGGAATTGCAAATTTGTCCCGCACAGTGTTCCAATCTGTCACTCCACTACTGAACCTCGTCATAAAATTAAATCATGAAATATTTGTCACTGGACGAAAAACAAACAACAATCAATCAATCTCTACAAAACCCACACAAAGCTCTACAGTCTGGTTGATTTTTTTCGGATGTCTCCATAGGCTTCCACTGACACTACTGTAACAACAGCCCATAAAAAGGCCGTGAAATGTCTGTGAAATATCACAGGGCCGTGAAAACCCCGTGAAAATACCCCGTGACTTTTGTAAAAAAATATTTCTAAAGGCCGTGAAAAATATTTGATGTTAGAAAAAGACCGTGAAATTTCAATATCCCGTGAAAAGGCCGTGATAATTTGTCCTTTCATGCCTAATAAAAAATATCACGGCCTTTTCACTGGTTGTTGAAACCAGTGAAAAGGCCGTGATATTATTCATTTCAATTTTTTCTTATCCTAATTCAGATTTAAAACATCCCATGTGATTATTGTAATATGGTCTAATTATTTCCACTCTCATTTTTCTAAATATCCTATAAACTTTTCATTATAAATATATGTATGTTTAAATATTATTATATGCAATACTACTGTACAGGACTGACTTTTAAATGGAACCATTCATTGTTATAATTAATGACTTTGTGCCAATAAATATTTTGTATTTAAAGAAAAGTATTTTGCTTCTCGTCTGTACATTATTATAAACTATTCAAACTATTGTCAACTTTAAAAAAAAAATATTGACTATATTCGATATTACAAAAAAAAAAACATGTGTTATAGAAGCCTTTGGTGTTACCTGAAAAAAATACAATTAATTATTATAACATTTATAAGACATAACACCAAACAAAAGATCAAACTATTAAGACCTTGTTGATTACGTAACTTTAATCAATCAGGATTTGATTGAATTAAGTGATTACGAGTGGCATTACCTTAGTTCACAATCATTAGACAATTGTTGAATTAAACCAATTATAGACTAATGATTTGATTAAACAAGTCATTATGATGAGTTAAATTTTATAGGTTCCATTAGACTGTAAATATTTATTTAGCTATTCTGTGTATGAATTAAATAAAATAAAATCGCCATGACATTCAAAGTTATCATGGAAAATAACTTCATATTAACAAGGATTTGTATATACAAATCCTTGATATTAATATGTTGAAGCTGCTATACAAACAGACACAATCACACTCATTTTCGTATCGATGTAAAATAATTCTTTGACTGGTACTCCAATACTTCACTTACCTGTTGTCATCCATCAACGATACTTTTTACAAATTCCATTTATACTGTTAAAATTTGTCACAAAATCCTCCAAAGTCAATATAGTTTATTCATATTTTATTATGGGGCCGGATCGACGTAGGGACGGATCGACGTGGGCCGGATCGACTTGGGACGGATCGACTTTGGGCCGGATCGACTTGGGGCCTGATCGGTTTGGGGACGGAACGACCGGATACCTTATAAACAATGTAAACATTAATTTTAATTCACCGGAACCGAAACATGTAAAAACGAGAACTTCCCGGAATATCAGACCGTATCCGGATTCGTGTTTCTTTTAGAGTAATTGTAACATTTCCGCAATTTTGGAAATTTGAAAGACGCCGAAGGTCGATTAATATTTACTTTATAGATGCAAGACGAGTGACAGCAAGTTTGAGGTAAGTTAAGTTATTAATATTTTACATGTTTTATTCTTTTATGCATCATATCACCAAAATGTTGATGACGTTTGTGAGCATTTCCATTGAACTGATTTTCACTGAATTTGCAGAAACCGCGCAAACATGCATGTGATATATTCACTTATATTTGAGTCTGTTGCACTTGATTCCTTTAATCATTTCGGTTAATGTTTTCTAAGACTTACCGGATCCTTTAAATACGATTACAGTTTTGTTTTGTTTATGTATTTGGGAAAAAAAAGGGGGGTCCTTTTTCCACACACAGGCCACATAAAAAAAATGACATTAATGTACAGTACACTTCGTAGGCATAGACATAGATAATTGGAAATGATTATAATAGCAATAAGTATCTCTGAAATGGAGTTCACTCTGATAATCAAAGGCGTAACCCCCTTTGAATGTGTCGGGAGCTACATGTATTAAAGTATTTTCTGACTTGGCCGTCGGGACACAAAGTTCAAAAGGGATTAATCAGAGGCGTAGCAGGGAAAGTATTTAATATTTGTACGGCAAAATGTCCTTTCTAGAAGGGTTTGTGCCATATTATTAGAATAATTGGTATGGCAATGAAGTGTTTAAAAAATAATTGGTATGGCGAATGTGCCTGCAGTAAAAGTTGCTACGCCCCTGGCCCCCTGTAAAATAAATAGCTGTGACTCGTTACGGCCACTTAGTCTAGACAAGTTTGGCTTTAGCCATACATATTATTACTTCAAAGAAACATTTAAATTTAATAGTCTGTCTTAAAAGTGTCTTTAGTCTTTAAAAAAATCTAAAAAAAATAATATAAGTTGACAATACAGAACTTCGTTAACTAATTTTCTGGAAAATGGTATGAAAATATGGGAAAACCTATGCATGTTTCCAAGTGGCTGTTCTGTTTCAATGATGTTTTTTGGTATTTTTCATACATTTTCACCTCCAGTATGAAAATCTGCCCCCTATTCAATATGGGGTCATTAACCGTGAAGTCCTGTATTGCATAGAATAATATTGTAGCTGTTTTAAGTACATGTATGTACATAAATGTCAAAAATTTATTTGCATATATAAATAGTTTTTTTATATACATGTATAATATATGTAATGTTTCTTCATTTATTCTAGGAATGAAGAGCAAAAGGATATAGCAGTCTTTATATAAAATAGTTCAGGAATCCAGTTGGAAAGAAGAGCTTTTCAGTTAAAAGTATTTCCTGGGAATTAACAGGAACTTCTATAAATGTTTTTCTGGAATAGTTATTCCAGAGGGCAGTGAAGTGAAGGATTACATTAGAAAAATATTGCTGAAGTGGTAAAATCAGACCCAAGAGATGTACAAAATTTCTACAATACATGTTACAACTGACTTTAGCTACTTAATCACATTGACATTTGTGTGCTTTTATGTTTTCTTTACATAATTACTACAGTTCTATTAAAATTAATATTTTTATTCTTTGTCACAATTATTACTAAAAAAAATACAGCATTTTAATATGGTTTTTCATAGTCTCACTTGCATTGTACTTAAATAAGTTGTCTGTAGATGTTTACACTAGGTTTTCAGGCATTTCACTTCACTTGATTGAAACAGCATTTAAATTTTTGTTAAATTATGGCCTGAAAAATACATTTAACATTTTACAGGAGTTTTCACAATCAGTGAATGGCTGTTTATCACAGTAGTACATGTACATTTCACGGTCTTTTCACAATGGGCACATAATTTATCACGACTATTTCACGGTGTACATTTTTGTTTTCAAAGGGTTTCTACGGTCTCTTTACCCAAGTTTTCAGTTGGCACCCTTTCACGGCCTTTCACGACAAATAAAGGCATATACTGTACTATATCTACATTTCACGGTCTTTTCACAATGGGCACATAATGCATTATCACAACTTTTTGACGGTGTACATTTTTTTTCACATGGTTTCTACGGTCTTTTCACCCAAGTTTTCAGGTGGCACCTCTTCACGGCCTTTTCACAAACTTTTCACAGCCTTTTCACGACAGTCATTCCACGGCATTGTCACGGATAAGTTTCACGGCCCACCGTAAATTAACCGTGACAAACACTGTAAAAATCACCAGCATTTTTACGGACACTTTCACGGCCAATCTACGGGGCATTGTTCCAGTAGTGTGTACTAAGGGCAGTTTGTTCATCACGTTAATGTCTTTTCATAAGTAACTGGTTTATTTCATTGACGAAACCAAGATGTTTTGGCAAATACTTTCGCTGGAAATATTCATCAATATCGAAAATATTAGAATCCTTCCTTTATAAAATAAATTATCCCTCTTCGGGTTTGCAAAAAAAAAGCATCTTTAATTATGCAAACACCCAGACCGTAACTTCCGTTAATAAAGAAATCTAGCTCTTGAATCAAGAGCGGGCATTAACTAATTGCCTATTGGACGATATCAATGATGTAACAATAACACATAACCAACTGGTGGGCAGGTTGTATCAATCGACCTGAGTTCTGTTTTGGTTTGATTTTCTGGTTGATACCATTGCTGATCGGAGTCAGTCATGTTATAAATGATTATTTTACGTTTAATGTATACCAAAGAAGACGTTTAATTTAGATCTGATATGAATTAATCCGTCGTATCGAAGGACCAATCAACAAAAAACATATCAACCTATAGTTATTTATTTTTTTTTTTTAAAACTTTTATCGTATTTTCTCTACTAACAATTGATTTATAAGTGAGCTGCGTCGATATAAATAACTAAAAGATGAATTTTGGTCTGTGTTGTAGGGTTCTTATATCAGCTCAATTTTCAAACAGTTAAAGAATTGGCATAGAGATCTTTTCAACCCGAAATATGTTAACAGATGTATTGATATTCATTTGTATAAGGTCGATTTCTATCTGATGCAGCTCAAGTCTTTCTATTGATTGTATTTTTCTTTGTTCAAGACATTCTCAATTTTTCAACTTTAATTGTATTCCGCTGTTTATTAACACAGAGAAAGCATTATTGTGTCTTCCGTTTCCCACGGAAATTGACTATTAACCAAAATAAACCAAATAGACAAAAATAAACACATTTTCAAGTGTGACACTGTAAAGTATGAGAACGTAACATGTAAGTAAGAATATGTTTTACTATACTATATTTCCTCTTAACAGAAATGAAATTAAATATCTGCCGTGGCTACGCATTCTATTTGCTTATACGTTGCTTTATTGAAAAATTTCTCATGACTTTTTTATGTAATTTTAACTAGTGAAATACATATACATGTATGAACTTCGATGAATAAAATGAAAAAGAGGGACGGTACAAGAGAGCCAACTTTGGTCCTGTGAACTCGGAAATCACAAACTAAGATCAATCTGTACGATAACATCCTTGACTGATCACCAATGTTATTTTGTTAGGTAACGTAATATAAGATACTTAAGTGATAATCAAACTCATTTGTCGAAAAAACTGTCAATGCCATGGCAAAAAACGGATTATGACAAAAGAAAACAAAAGACTGAGCAACACTAACACCACCAAAAACCAGAAGCGATCTGAAAGTGTAAGCACATTCTGCTCCGCATGTGGCATGTGTATTAACAGATATTCAATAATGGCCAACCAACTCAAGATGTTTGAAGGGATGATTTTCAACTTCACCACTTTGAACTGTTGCTTTAAAAGTTTCCTTGTGAGCAACAACCCCCTTTCAAGGAAACGTTTGTTAACGTATTTGCATGTTGTTTTATGTTTTTGACTTATTTGCCCTCACTTCGAGCAGGATAGGACACCACACAACTAACTAAAGATTCAAACTAACATACCAATAGATATTGCAAAGACTCCATTAAGGTTTTTGTAGTTAATAGTAAATTTGACAAAGTCGCGTTGTAAAAAAGTTTATTTTTAAATCAACAATAAAAGAAGAAATTTCGTGCCTTTTGCAGTCCATCAATGGTTTTGATAAGACAACAACTTTTGTTGTTTGGTACCATATGTAGAACAACATTATATATGGAAAATGCATTGTCTTGTATGGTTGTCTTTGCTGACTACTTTATATATATGTAAAAATATAAAGTATAATATATCAAAGTGTACTACATATGTCCAAAGCCACACGTTTGTACGTACACTATTAATATCATGTATGATAGTAAAATCAAGAAAACAAGTGTATTGTATTTTAATGTCAATCAAACAGACAACGGATATATAGCTGATCTACCAAGGCTGGAAATAAAGTATATTGAAGATCGAATCATCATATAAGTATCCGTTCAGGGAAGTACACTTTCTATTTCCGGGAGTCAAGTATATATTTCTTATTATGGTTTTGAAATTTCTCGGAAACAGATGTAACATTTTATTTCATTTTCAGTATGCTGGCATGAACATTTTATCGAGTGTTCTTTGAATCTGTCGAGATGAGTGAATATGGTGAGTAAAAACAATGGCATTATTACTTTTATTATTTTATTTGATATTATCTTTTTACATTTCATATCAAAAGGAAATATAAGAAACAATCAAAATTATGCTAATTTAAAACACATTTAGAGCATTGATAATTGCCTTATATTACACATTACATGTACGATTTGAAATTGGTATTATAGTTTACAGATTTGTTTTCTTCTGGAGGTGTATACGTAACGGTGGTCAAGTATTGCGATCGCGATCGAAGCGTGTACGATCTGCCATAAGATCGCGAAGAAAATATTTTCGATAAGACACATTAAATGACTATTTTAATCTAATATTATTTTAAATTAGAAAGATAAATTTAAAACTATATGTCATTGAACGTACAAAGGACATATACACTTCACCGGATAACTGATAGAAATTGTATTCAATTCATTTGTATTTCCATGGAAGATCCAATCCGTTTATCTGGCTCAAAAAATCGTGGAATGGTTGCCTGCAAAATTAAAGTGATCTACGGGTAGCACACCCAATAATGTGATTAAAAATACATAGACAGCACTTTCTTTGTATTTAATTAAAATTATGTTATTTTCTATTTTTGTATGCTGATGTTGGCATCCATGTCCGTTTTAAAAATATAGAAATATTCATTTTGTTATGCTTGTGACATGTTATCTATTTATCGAATGTAGAGGTATTTCTCGTATCAAACTGTACGGAGTGTGATACGGAAAGAAGACACGACTTTTTATGCGTTAAATTTATTATCTTATCCATTATGAAGAAATAATATTACCATACTTCCATTGGATATTCGTTAGGTCTTTGATAACTTTCGAAGGTGAGAACGATGTTCATTTTCTCCATGTCGACGGCAATTCGGGATTTTTTCAGTAGTACACAAAACATTCAAATGTTTCACATAAAAATTTTATTATTGTCAAATCTTATAAAACTCTGGAGCGTACCCAAAGATTAAAAAATGTATGATATTAAAGTTTGACATCAGATCAGGACAAATGGCGTCACACTGATATGTGCAAAAGATTAGATCGACGATTCGCGGACGTTTTGTATTTATTATAAAGACAATGTTTACCATAAGATAAAAAATGCTTGTTTATTATCAAACTTAAATTTAATAACCCGAGTTGATATCAAGCAATAAATAATTATCTTTAAAGACTGTTCTCCTACATTGTGTTCTTCTTGTGATCTAGAGGAAGCGTTATAATTTATGAAAACAAACTACTAAAAAGTATAGTACTAATGAAAAGTACAGTATAAACAAATAGGAAAATGATACACAAACAAAATTTACTATGACCAACACACCATTTTACGATTTCCAGTACCATCTTTATGTTACAACTGTCAGACCTGTGATATTTTGTGAGTATAAAGTTACCTTGAAACACTGTTAGAACGATACACGAATATTCAACAGCTCAGTAGTCTGAGTTCTGAACTAAAAATATGCTCAGTTTTGATAAACATGTATATCATAAAACTAAGAATATAACTCTATATATTCTAGCGTCATGCGGTCATCCAAGCTAAACATTGCATCAAGGGTAGTGAGTGACATACACGTAACTACTTTACCCGTAATGATTTCTGTATATCTATGAACACATCTATTCGTGGAATTTTATCTTTTAAGTATTTAAAGGCTTATTGGAAACATGTTCAGAATCAGTAGACTGTTAATATTAAATTTATTTACTTATTTAGAACCAATAAATCGGTTAAACTTTAAATAGTCATTAAAGTTTATTTTCCTGTTTCTGCCTACTTAGATGCGGTCATAGATACTTCAACAGATAAAAACTCAAGGACTTTTACAACAAGAGGTTTTTCTAGGAAATATTTAACCTCTTGTGGGTGAAAAACAAAATGATTGATTTAACATGTTGGCAGAACAAATAAAAGTAGATCACTTTTCAAAAGTTTTGATACTATGCGTTTTCGGCTTATTTATGTTGACCAAAAAAAAAAAAGGGTTACCGGAATTTATGTGTTACTATTAGTTTAACACGGCTGTCCTTCCTTATACGGAGAAAAAGTTCGCAAAATAGTAACTAACGATGGCCAAATATTGCAATCGGATCGTGTATGATCAGATGTTGGATCGCTATGGTAGTCTTTTCGATAAGACACAAATAAAATGTTATATTTCAATTCTTGCATTCGTTACAACAATAAGTGAATGGAAATGATATTTTGACATCTAACTCTTAAATGCTGATGAAAAATATTCTGTTAATATAAATTAGTTGAGTTTTTTTAATACTTTTTATATTTCGAAATAATAGAGACATTAGCTCCCAGTTTAAGGACATAAGTATTATCACATGTTATTGTTTAGGCAAATTATTCATGTGAGAGACATTTATTGAAAAATTCTTCGTGTGGTGTGATCGAAATTATGCTAGAATAAAGCAAAAGAAAAAAAAAGGCTTGAATGAAAGGTAGTTAAAAATTTGCGTATACATTTGATAAAAAAGCGTTTAATCCTTATAATTCTAAATCTAAACATTGCAACTTCAAATTTATATTTGTTTTCATTGGCTCGTTCATGTGTTAATCATCAAGTCGACAGTTATATATATTGACTTGTTGAAATACATACAAAAAAAAATGAAACGACATCTACTTCAATAAATCTAGTTTTAATGAGATAATTTCCAAATTTAAAGCGTACATGTAACGGAATAACCTTCAACTTAAGTATCAATCATATATCGTAATGTTTGTACACGACGTTGATTTAATAATTCATAAAATTTCGCGGAATGTTTTTGATTAAAAATTGATACATTTTTCCAAGCATAAGAGCATCAATTATTTTCTGTTATGCACTGCAATAGAAACAACACTTTTTTTAATTTAAATTTTTACACAGCAATGTCGACAGAGTCTTTATATGGTACAATACATGTGAATGTACATGGGGTTATCATGCAACAACCATAAATATATACATCTATTAGTCTATGTTAAATATAGTTATATCAGGAATCTCATCGCGTTGACGAGAAAGCAGCACATCACATTAGAACATCAAATAATTACTAATGCCTTATACCTAATGATATTTATATATTCCTTTCTTGCAGGCATTTCACTGGAAAAAAGACTTAAATCTTTTCTCGGTCGACGGCGGGTAAGTGCTACAATAGAACTTTAAAGTATTTTAATTCCCATCTGGTCATACCCATTATATATCACTGCGTCATGTTATTATTGATGCTCATTTTAAAAACAGGTTTCGCACAAACTTATCGCAAGAGCATGATTGTATCTCAAAATGACCGGATAGGATTTTCAGTTTGGTCTAGTTTTCATTACGTTGGTTGGGTAACCTCCCAAAGATTACAAAATAAATTCAATGGTTTGTCACTATCTTAGTGATATTTTTGTGCTACTGTAGGTAATCAGTTAGCATAAGCTTGTACTAGAATAAAAGTTCAGATCATATTGTCTAAAATAATACTGTTTGCATATGAAAACCAAGGACATACAGTTGAGTGCAGCCGATCAATCAATAGCTTAGCAATAAAACCTTATGTATGATTTTTTTACCTTTTCGGCTTTTGATTTTTTGAATCTTTAAGAACAATGCTATTCCTTAATTTAATGTTTTGTGGAGTCAAACTTGTCCAATCTTCTTAAAAACTCTTGCAACAAAAATGCTGAATCACTCTTTTAATTACACCTAGTTTAAAATGCACAAATGACTTCCACATTATTTGAAATAGTTTTCTCCCATACTCACAGTCTACCCTTTTTTAATGTAACATATTTGATATAACAGACTTATTATGAAGATAGTGTTGATGAAGATACAGAAGATGGCGATAATGATATAGAGATAGACAACAAGGAAAAGGTAAGCTCGTTTTCAACATCTTTAGGGTATATCTTGGTTGTTATGCTCTCATGTATTCATGAATGTATATATTCCTAGCCTTTCAGCTATTTGGATTGAGCGTAAAATCGAGAAAACACGCATTAATTTGATAAAGCATTGTATTGGTTTTCTAACACTAGGGTGATACCGAGGTTTGATTGACTATACACGACAGTATCATCTGCTCGGTAGCTATTGCTTTGATACTGTTATGATATATATCGAAGCTTTCCCGTATTATCCGATTAAATATTACTCAGAAACGTAAGTTTAAACTCAGGTGAAGGACCCGATACGAGTTACGGTTTGTATGGCCTTGTTATTTGAAGACAAAGTTCATTTGTTAAATTTGTAACCTTCTAACGCAAGCCTATATTGAAATAAAAATATTAGGTTAGTCTTGTTTATAGTAGTCATTCACCCAGTTTTAGCAGGAATGTTTAGACTCAATAAGAATAGAGCTCTATCAGTGTAACAAACAACAATTCATAAGAACAGAGTGTTATACATGAGACGAACACTATGTTCAAACAGGTATTAACATTTACGTATGATATAGCTTAATTTATTTTTAAAGTTACGGAAATTTCCTTATTCTGGTATTCTCATGAATGTATATATGCCTAGCCTTTCAGTTATTTGTATTGAACATTCAAATAATGAGCTGAATATTAAACGTGATTTATAAAAAAAACATTATTATGAAAAATGAAATTTGTACACCCTATTCCTCCTCACAATAAATATGCATGTAGTGAAATATTCATGTGAACTCTTTTAAGACAATTTTTTTGCGCTGCTGAAGAAAGAAAGTCAAGAAGGTCAAGGTTTCATTTTTAAATATGACCCTCCCCACCACACATAGGTATATTTTCATCCTGTGAGTGCACATTTTTGTGATTTGAAGGTTCCAGATGAGGTTAAACTAGAAAATTTCTTGCACGCACCCACTTTATCAAGTGATATAGTAATTTAACGTTTACAATTTACTATCCAGTAGTTTTATGTATAAGTGTGTTATATTTTAATTTACGCTTGATGCTCTTCTTGTAAAAAAGAACTGTCGTCCAGCGTTCTTTCATCAATAAACAAGACTAGTCTAATTCGTCTTAGAGATCTGCACCAATTTATGTCGAATTAGAAGACAAATACTACAATGGTTAACATGGTTAATGCAAGATTAGCTCATTATGCGATTGTCTAATTTTAGACGGAATAAGAGCTAGATTGTCCATGTCAAGTTTACAGATGCCTTATAAAGTTTCTAATGTCCATAATGTCGTTGACATTACCCTATTAAAAACAGGACAATGAACTTTTTATAATAAATGTCTTTGCCTTGTGTTACTCAAAGATCCTTATAGAAAGAAAGCCGTTTTAATATAAAAGATGGTGAACATGTTGTGACTGTTAGTTCGATGTAAGGTTTTATTAAAAGGGCACATTTCTTTAAATTCAGAACTATACATAACTTTTAAGTGTCTGCTTAATCATTGTGTATAATTATAAACCTGATATGAAATGTCTTAAACACGACAATCTGTCAAACTCAAATAAAAACAATAGTAGTAAACCGCTGTTCAAAAGTCATAAATCGATTAAGCGAAAACAAATCCGAGTTACAAACTGAAACCGAGGAAAACACATCAACTATAAGAGGATAACAACGGAACAACAGAAACATTGAACTGCAACAAAAAAAAAAAAACGCAAACATACATAGAAACGGACTTGTTGATAACAACTGCCATATTCCTGACTTGGTTCAGGACATTTTAATAAAACATGGTGGGTTGAAACCTGGTTTTATTGCTAGCTGCAATTTTCAATAAGTTTTGAATTTCCAAATATTTTGGCCTCGGGTATCACTAAAAAGATTTTTATTGTCAAAATTACCGTAAATGCTATACAACACTACAATGGGCGATATTAAAGTCTTTCCCTTGAACAACCGAAATCATGAATGATACATAATATCTATTTTTGGAAACGTTTGTATAATATGATTTCTCTAATTTCGTTGGTAATTTAACTTTTTCTGGACCCATTGTATAAACAAACATAATCAAAGTGTGGTTACCGATGATCTCAGAAGAGGATTGGCTGGGTTTACGGGTCATAGCCTTCATCAGCTCACGGGATGACTCGAAATGTGCTCACTTGTGTTAGAGAAATTGACAACTTTGTGGAATGTGGAAGGCACTCGAAAGGGATTTTTGTTGATCAAAAATGAAATTTATTTGATAGTCATTAGAGAAACAGATTCTTACAAAGTTACTCGTGGATTATCGGATTTATCCTATCTCGATAGTTAAATTATCAACTTTAAAGTCCTCGCCGCGGCTCGGACTTTCAAATTCAACAATTTAACTATCTCGATTGGAGAAATCCAATAATCATATGGTACCAATGATAAAACCTAAATGTATCGCTATTCTCATTCAGAATTTTTTTTTAAAAAAATTATGTTTTGCCACACATTCAAGACGTCATTGATACCTAATTCAAATATTTATTTTGATATAACTTGCTTGAGACGAAAGACAAAACTAGTTTTAAACTGAAGATCGATGAATAATTACAAACGGTTAACAATAAAGCATAAGATTAGTCTCGCGAGAGAGACATATTACATGTTTAAGTTAAATGTTGACGGAAGGTATTCATAAAGTGTTATTTTCACGTTGTGGTTATACAACATTGTTAACATTTAACTAATGAAATTTCTAAAAATTCAGAACGATTATCCTGCGCTTACAACATGTTTGAATATAAAAAGAAGATGTGGTATGATTGCCAATGAGACAACTCTCCAGAAGAGACCAAATGACACAGAAATTAACAACTATAGTTCACCGTACGGCCTTCAACAATGAACAAAGCCCATACCGCACAGTCAGCTATAAAAGGCCCCGAAATGACAATGTAAAACAATTCAAACGAGAAAACTAACGGCTTAATTTATGTACAAAAAATGAACGAATAACAAATAAGTGACACATAAACAAACGACAACCACTGAATTACAGGCTCCTGACTTGGGACAGGCACATACATACAGAATGTGGCGGGGTTAAACATGTTAGCGGGATCCCAACCCTCCCCCTTACCTGGGACAGTGGTGTAACAGTACGAAGTTTGCATTTCTTACATTAAAAATCTACATGCTAAATAAGTTCACTTAACTATAAACTATACTTTAATATTACACATGGCAATAACTCAAATCATCTGCATACCACAGCCTTCTTTAGGTTTTAGCATATTAAATGCTGTCCAAGTTGCTTATATAATTCTGTTAATGTCTTATTTTTATACCTTTAGGATATTCAAAAGGATCCATGTATAAGAGAGAAGTTTTCATTTTATTCAAACTTCCATGGATATGATATTCGTAAACATTATGGTGGAGGTAAGCAAATCAATAGCGTATTTAAAAATTGGGACTTTTTGTTTTTATCTCAATGTCGAAGGAAATGAAAGAGCCAAATTCCTGAGAGAGTTCAATTAATACCATATCTAATTACGGCTTTTGCATGGTCAAACGTATATAAGTTTCCAATGTCAATCGGGAATTTGTTCCAGTAAACACCATTGTAGGTTGATCCGTTCCTTTTCGAACAGAGCTTTTGTCCTTCAATTAGCTGTTTAAGCACGCTTATAGTGCAGTGCAATATCAATTTCGATATTAATCCATACTTGGAACAAAAATGAATCAAATATACCAAAAGGGTATTCTAAATGTCAAAATAAATCGTTGAAGATGGACAATTAGCAAAAATGAAAAAAAAGTCATATACAAAGTTTTTATCACATAGTTCTTCAAATGTTTTGGTTCGTATACATCCATGGTCAAATATTCGGCATTGAGCATTCCTGATGAAGGTAAATCCAGAAAATCCCTTCGCACGCATGAAATTTTAACGTGTTATTTTCATTCTTTTACATAAACAGGTGTAAAAAAAATGTTGATGAAAGTATTTCTTTTCCATTGCCACTACGAATATACATCCGTTGATTTATGGGTTATTGTTTGGCAGTCATAGCCGCGGCTTTGTTCTTTTCGATCCGCTAATGTCATCATCTCTGTTTTTGCAAATAAATAAAATGAGAAGCCAATAGCAATTGGTAAATATTGTTGATTCGGTTTCTCTCAGATTGATGTGATAATTGGTATATGCATTTAATTGAAGCCACTGCTAACATGAATGCTATGACCTTTTTATATAATTTATACTTATTTAGCTTTCTTTCATATAAGTTTACTCATACTTGAGATCGTCTTAGATAATGAGTATTACATAATTAACCTTAGTTATCTTATTGTAATACAAATTAATGAGCACTAATCACTTTAACAACATAGCGTATCATGTGTTCTTTGGAGCATGCTAGTAATGCTATTGTTGGATTTTAATGCGTCTTGGCACATATTGTTTAACATAATAAAAATATTTGTTTATTTCATAAAGAAAAAATAAAATCGGGACTTCGAGTAATAAGATCACGATCATGGAATCCTACAGAAGGCTACAAATATGATAAGGAAGATCGTGAAATTGGTACTATTTTCAATGTTGCAAAAGGTGGCGTTGTCAAGGTCCAATGGGACTCGTCAGATTGTATAGAAAACTGTGTTAAAGGAGATAATGGCCAATACGATCTTCTTTTATTTGACAATGCGCAAATAGGTAAGCTTTCTTATTTCAATCGTATTATTAATACGAATCCGGCAAAGAAACATAATTCAATGAAACATGTTTAAAACATGTTTTTCAAAGTATATCTGTTTTCCTCAGTTAGGTCTAAAAGAGGTAGAACAAGGTGTTCAGGAGTGATTTGCAGTTATTGCAACTTCTGGTATATTCGATTAATACGTAAACAGTCATTCCCATTGGTAGTTAAGTTGACTCAATGACATGGCACGATATTTTAAACTATTGTATAGAGCTTTTGACCAATAAAATGTA